ATAAAGTGAAATCTTTCCAAAACAAGAAGAAATATTGCGAAACTTAAAATCTTACCAAACAAAAAATTTAATAACTCTAAATGTTGCCAAACGAAAAAAATTGGGAAATTAAAAATTTTACAAAGCAAAAACATTGGGAAATTGAAAATTTTTCCAAACTTCAATGCGGGAAAATTGAAAATTTTGTCAATCAAAATTGTTTGGAAATTCAACACTTTAAAAAGCAAAAATATTGGGAAATTGAAAATGTTTCCAAACTTCAATACAGAAAAATTGAAAGTTTTGCCAATCAAAATTGTCGGGAAATTTAACATTTTACAAAGCTAAAATATAGGGAAATTGAAATTGTTTCCAAACTTCAATGCAGGAACATTTTCAGTTTTTTCAGGAAAATTGAAAATTTTGTCAATTAAAATTGAAAGAAATTCTAAATTTTGAAAAGCTTAAAATTGAATGAGTGACACTGTTGCCAGGCATATAGATATTGCTGATTTCTAAATGTTGGCAAAAAAGAAAAATTACTTACATGTGGCCAAACAAAAATATTAAAAAAATTTCAAATATTGCCAACCAAAACTTGAAAATGTTGTTTGGCAATGTTGTTGAAAATGAAAAATGTTGACAAAATTTTTTTTTTGAAAAACTCAAAATTTTACAGAATCCAAATATATGTTGGTAATATATAAAAAATATATTTTTACTATTTTTTTTTTTTTTTTTTTATAATATATTTTTTGGCATTCACTATCCTGCCCCACTGTACGGAAGTTTTGCCCAAATATTTATGAACTGCCAAATATGTTTATGGTAATGTATTTTTCTTTTTTTGATAAATGTGGCTTCTTTTACTTCGTTTATTATTTATTTTTATTTTTGAACTTTTATCATTTCAATAACGTATGGATATCAATATTGCTTGGTGGTCACTGATATTCGCTATTATTTTTCTGACTTGACAGTTTTTGGCGTATTTCCGCTACGTACATACATACATACATATATTGTATGTATATATATACATACATACATATATAGATATGTACATACATATATGTATATATATAAAAACATATAAAAGGCTGTCAATTAAAAGTTTTGAGTACCTTAAATAATTTAAATTTGCGCATGACAACCAATGTGACAGAAGATACAAAAAAAAAAAAAAAAAAAAAAAAACGGAAAATTATTGCCGGGTTGCGAAGTGGACAACAACAACAGTGAGTGATAGTATATCTCTGCTGCGATCGCATGAATTTTAAATATTGTCGATTTGTATATGAGCATGGATGTGAGTGTGTGTGTGTGTGTGGACCTCTGTTTATTTTATGTTGCAACTCACGTACAGGTTCAACACATTAAATTGAAATCAAGCTTTAATTGCTTTTATGGTTACAAGCAAAAACAAAGTTACGTGAAAAAAAATAAGAAAACGAAGAAGCACAAAAAACGAAAAATTTGCCGGCAAAGGTTAAGGACGCTCGAGCTCGCGCTCGGTCGCATGTCAACATTTTGTTTACTGATCGTAAACATCATTTGACTTTGACATTTGTAAGCTTGCAACACGCAAAATGTGAAAAAAGAAATGCGAATGTAAAAAATTTATGTGTAAATTATTACGTTGGATTCTTTGGAACTTTCGTTAAGAATTTTTTTTTTTCATAAAATTCCTTGCTGCGTGCCAGCATCTTTCGTCTCAGTGAAAGTTAGTTTAAGCACATCGCAAAAATTATTTTTATATTTTTCCATTTTCTGTTCCGCACTATAAATACCAAAAACATTGACCGATTATTCACAAAAAAAAAAAAAAAAAAAAAAAATAAAAAAAAAAAATTGCGTTGCAAATGCATTAAAAGAAATATGTATTGGCACAAGTGAGTTTTCAAAATTTTTAAGTGCTCATAAAAATATATTGTAATTTGGAAAAAGTTATGGAAAAATTAATTAAGGTCTAAAAATTGTAATTGAAAAAATTCAAATAATATAAATATACATGAATAACTCACGAAAGTTGCAAATGTGCGCTCACTTTTATCTACTCCCGTACATATTTACTGTAAATATTTCTTTATCGTTATCTGCAAATTTTGCACATTGATGCTCGTAAAAGCCATAATAAAATTGCTTAAGTGCCTACATTTGCAACCACACGCTCGTGTTATTTATGTTTACGTTTATGGAGGAAAAAATAAATAAATTGAGTTTACTCCAAATTTTCCATAGTATTTTGCACACAATTTTTAATTTTTGTGTTTTGTTTTTTTTTTTGCATTTTGTTTAATTTTAAAATTTTTTCTCATATTTTCATATATAAGTTGTTCTTTCAAATTTTTTCTCATTTCGTTTACAATTATTTTTTTTTTAACTTTTGAATTTTTAAATTTCTCATATCTTATTTTTATATGTATTTTTTATATCCTGTTATAATTTATAATGTATTATGTATTAAATATTATTATTTATTATTATTTNCGTGATTGTTCGGGTCGGCATTATTGTTACACCTCTGACCAAAACACTCACTTATTAATTGCCTGCTTTAATTTCATTTTGAATTGCCTACTGATTGCACAATTAATTTTCAGACATTTATTATGCTCAATGTCTACATGATTAACAATTTGCTTTTATTCATCATACTTGGCTGAAGTGTTGCGTTGAATTTAAATAAAATATTTCGTATGATTCATTGAGGTGATATTAAGATGTTGAACTGAACATTTATTTCTTCCCGAAATATAGGGTAGATTCTCTCAGTAAAGGCTTAAGAATCTTTTTCTGTCGTCATTTATATAGCTAAACTCGATTAATTAATCAATGAGCGCGTCTGGTAACTGTAAACCTGTATCGAGCCCAGGCTATTCTGTACCGGAGAGCGATCGCGGTAGATCAGCTACTACCTCTAAACTATTGTAGCATGAAATTAAGCAGCGGCTAAGAAGAAAATAAATACTTTTTTATTTAAAGCATTTGCTGAATATTTTATGGATACATATTAAACTCTATTAAGCGATGCAATGGCTGATCTATCCTATTAGTATTAATATAACAACAAATGTTTTCTGAAATTAAAAAAAAAAAAAGAAATTAAAAATAAGTCATTCATTCACTGATCGATTTCTTCAAAATAGTCGAACCGATGACCCTCCAAATCATTTTGCATTCGTCGAAAAGGCCAATAGTAAAAACCTTACGTTTCCTTTCGGCTAAAACGAAAGAAATTTATTTTGATAACTGCTTGAACCCTAATATAAAATATTTCCAAATATTTGAACCGAAACGATAGAAATTTTTCGATTAACGTGAAATTTATCATTACGAAGCAGCCTTGGATTATTAGTAAAACTCATAAATTAATTTATGACTTTAGTCTCGTTTCTTTTAATTGCATTTGTATTCCTTTAACTTATCAGGTTAAAGGTTATTAAAACGTTATCTCAAAAGTCTATTGTTTCAATATTTGGCGCTTTATTGGCACCGTTCATGAGGGATCATAAAGATAGTATAGTAGATAACAAAATTTTGCAGCTTTCATATCGCTAATCTGGCAATAAAATGCTAAATCAAATTTATAATAAATTACGGTGCCATTTAAGTTTCTTTTACAATAAATATTGATCGGAAATGAAGGTAAAATAACTAAGGGGTTGGTGAATTTACCTGCGGCTGGTCACAAATTAAATATTTTTTTGCCTTTTATGCTATAATAGAAGGCCACAGCCACATGTTTTTTGTACTTTGTTTGATTTTCATTCTTATTGGTATTACAAAAACGTGGAAAAACCCCGTTACTTAATCATCATCTAAGTCAAAATATTAAGTTTTTTTTTTTATTCCAAATCTAAATCATAGTAATTTTTATCAATTTTGCGGCGATAACTTTCCCGTTAGGAAGGTAGTATTGTCCAAATTTCGAGCAAATCGTACTTGGTTCCGGCTCTTTGGTTCATTTCCAAGAAAAAAATATTCTATTTAGTCATTTCGTCCATAAACTTAACCAAACTGAACCATAAATATGTATATTTTTCAAAACTTCCTATAAATATGATTTTTTTTTAATATATATATGGAGAAGATAAGTCTTCATCCTAATAAGATACCTATGTACCATATTTGAAGAAACTCGATAGGTCACTCCCATTCTATCGATTACACTTAGGCTCGACTAAGACTCATTGTGATGCCAGAAAAGCTTGACCATTGAGTTTCGTTGTCCAACGAGTTCGATTCCCTAATAGTCCTCATTAGATCCATGGCTTCGACATCGGCTATCTTCGGTTGACCATCCAGCAGTAGCGCACACTTGCAACTTCTGCAGCATCTTCTGCAAGGAGGCCCTAGCATCTCCGCATGTCGTCCTATTAGACAATGGCCTAACAGGACTCCTATTACTTGTGCCCACTTTTTTTATGAAATACTTATCTCGGGAACTCTTCTAATAACATTTTGGCCAAATGTGTGCTTGAACTTGCGGCAGGTTGAAATTAGTTAGTAGATATGACGGCCTGAAAAACACTGCTCAGTTAGCCTGAAAGAGAGTACCATAGGAGGGTTCCCTGAGAAGACACCTTCGCCAGTTCTTCCTTCAAGCTTTAAGCCATTCCTTTATGTTTACTGGCTTTCACCAGGAGTGTTATAAGTATCTTTCCATTCTTCCTTGCTGCGAATTCGTATTCTAAATTAATTATCATGAATGTTATTGGATCGGATCGATCTTCATAGCTTGGTATGAGATCGTGTTTATCTAGAATCTTCGAATCTGAACTAGTAATCCATTGATTTGAGAGACGAAGTGCGATTAATCCTGCCGACTGTTATATAACCAAGTGCAGTGGCGTTGGAATCGAAATGTTACTGTAAACAGTATTTACAAGGCGATTTTGTTTTATTTAAGTAAAGAAATAATATGTTTATGCCACTTTTTTTTTATAAAATTAAGATTTAATTTTAATAATAAATAAAGTAAAATTTAATAAAATTTGTTTTTCTATTTTTTTTTGTAGTTTTATGGGTGTTTGTGTGCAAGAAGGTCAATTGCATGCGCTGACAGAGTACATCGAAGGCGGCTCACTGGAACAGCTCCTGGCTAACGATGAGGCGGTGTTGAGTGCTGCTATGAAACTAAGACTGGCGTTGGGTATAGCAAATGGCATGGCTTATGTGCATGATGCGGGCATTTTCCATCGCGATTTAACAAGCAAAGTTCGTTGAATGAAAAATTGAATTTAAATTTTGGTTAATTTGTGTTATTTTACTAATTAAATTGAATTTCAGAATGTGTTAATACGCAATATGCCCGATGGACAATTCGATGCTGTTGTTGGCGATTTCGGTTTAGCAGCGAAAATACCCGATAAAAAGTAAGTGAATAAGTATAAAGGATTATAAGCAATAATAATTAGTAAAAGAAAAACGGTTAGATTGTAGAAAAATGTAGACATTATTATTTTAATTTTTTATTCTCTTTTGCACTTGTTTTCAATATTGATATTTATTTAAGTATCTTACAAATTAATTTTTAAATATTTATTTTAGTGGCAAAACGCGCCTCGACACAGTCGGCTCACCCTATTGGGTAAGCCCCGAGTGCCTCAAGGGTCAATGGTATGATCAGACGAGCGACGTCTTCTCCTTTGGCATTATACAGTGTGAGATAATAGCGCGCATAGTCGCCGATCCGGATGTGATGCCGCGCACGGATGCGTTTGGCTTGGACTATTTGGCCTTCGCCGAGTTGTGCCCGGCCGATACACCCGCTGTATTTCTGCGGCTAGCCTTCTATTGCTGCATCGTAAGTTATTTTAAAAGCAGAAAATGTTTGCATAATTCGAAATTTGAATTTTCTTTCTAAACGTCCACAGTATGAAGCCAAAAGCCGGCCGACTTTTCACGAAGCTGTTAAAAAGCTAAGACTTATAATGCAAGAGTACGAAAATGGTTGCAATGGCAACTGCAGCGCAGTACTGAATTCATCGAGTCCGCTGACCTCCCTCGAGTTAAACGGTTCACTTAACGGCAGTGGCATAGCATCGTCAACTGTAACAGCAGAACAAAATCTATCGACAAGTCACAAAAACGGCTGTTTGCGACAATGCTATGTCAGCAATACACTACGCAATGCAAACAGCCGATGTAGCTGCCACAAGAGCGTTGAGACAGCGTCAAAAGCACCAGTTATGCAAACAGCGCCTGCCGGCACTGAGTCCACACATAACTACAAAGAGTTGGATGAGAACGGCTTTCGTTTTCCCAATGGCAAAACGAGTACTGGCGGCAGCACTACTCCCTACCAAACGCCAAATGGTTCGTCAGCGGAATACAACGAATTTGAGGAGCGTGTGCTAGAGACGCGCGTGCGTCGTGTGACTAAAAAGTTAGAAGCCGATCTGCAACTACAACAGCATCGTCGCTCGTTTAGCGAAAATATCATACACTTTCCGTTGCATACAACGCCCAGCGACAAGGCGCGCTGTCATCAAATGCAACGGCAACGTTCGTCCACTCATTCGCCTACACCACCCGCGCAAACGCGCATAAATGGCGGCAGTGATAAGTCAGCGCAACCAACAAGTGCCGATGCCGTCGCCACCTGCAACACAGTGGATGCCCCCCAAGTGCCGGTGCCAGCGACGCAGCAAACGGCCGCACTAACGCTGCGTAAGGTCGCCGAGACAATGTGCTTGAAGGATCCACACTATAAACCCATCCGCTCCGATCACAATGGCGTAAAGAGCAATCCATTCACAACGTTAGCGCAGTTGCGTGGCGTCAAGAAGATACTCGGCGCTAATCCGAAAACATACGCTGCCGGCGTAGGTGATCTGTTTAGTTCATGTTTTGAAATGTCCGCACCGTTCTTTAAAGAGCTTGCGGCTGAGCTGGCTAAAAGCACAAACAAAACGGCGACAACGAGTGAAGTTGGCTGTGCGGTGGCAGCACGTCTGAGTGCCGGTGGCGTTGGACGTGGTTTGCCCACCACCATTAATGAACCAAAGAGCTTACCCTCTTCGCCACAATTGGCACGAAAATTCAGCGTTATCGAACTGAAGTCAACACCGCATGGTCCGCCCGCGACTGCGGCCACAACCGTGACGGAGGATGACGATGATTGTGACGATTGTGCGTCAGATGGTGAGCCCGATGGCGATGGCGGTGGCAACTGCGCAGATGCCGAGTCCAGTAGCGATGACTCCGCCGAACCACGTGCTGTACACCTTTCAACGCCAGCTGCGCGTAAATATCGCGCCAACTCGCTCTTCACACATCCGCTATTCTTGTGCAGCAGCGGCACAGGTGTTGTCAATCTGGACGAGGCTACTGCTGTGTTAACGGCAGCAATGACAACCACATCCACGACCACAGTCTGCACGACTAGCGATTGTGCGTCGAATACAGTGTACTCCACATCTGAGGATGGCTGTGAGGAGCACGAGCTGCCAAAAACTAAATTATCACCAATTATCGTTGCCTTGCCCGCGATTTCATCACCAACGCCACCGACACAAGCACCAATGGCGTCTTTGGTCGCAACACCGGCATCAGTTTCGTCGTGCCCGGACTTTGAGTTGCATGAAATTAAACCAACCGACTTGTTGCCGAATAAAGGTACGCTGACACGACGCGACTCCATAGAGAGTGGTTTCTATTCATGTTTTAACGAGGAATCAGATCCAGCAATCAATAACTCGACCACATACGTCACAGCGACGGCAGCTTCCACCACCTCCATCGATATGGGTCTAATGAACCGCCTAGCGCTCGACTCGGGCATACACTCGGTGCTGCAACGCAGTAACTTTGCCGTAAATCAACTACTCTACTGCAAGAACCGTACTTCATCCATTTACACCGACAGCTCGGATGACATCAGCAGCTTGGCCGGCTCCGATTCCCTCTTATGGGACGATCGCTCCTTCACCGCTATACCCAGCACGCGTTCAGCGCAAATCGCAACAATTGTTGAGTATTTTGAACGTAAGCGACAAGTACCTGATGACATGGCGCCGCCCAGCCGCAACTCGTTCCTTCGTAGCGGCTCTTCAAGTGCTGGCAGTGCACATCATGCAACAAGTACGTCGAATAGCGCGGCATCCACTGCTGCTGCCGCCGCTATGGCAGCTACCACATCGTATGGCCTTAGTAATTTGGCTTCGTACGATATGCGACGTTATACAGACTACAAACGACATGCGACAATAAATTCGGATTATGAGGCATTCTGTTTCGAATTGGACAAGAAGCCGGTACAGCAGCGTTTGACCGTTTGTGAGGGTGCTGTCAAGTCCAAGTTGCAAATATTCGACAAAACGAAGCAACAACAGCAACAGCAACAGCAACAACAGCAGCGTGTGCAGCTGCAGCAGCAGCAACAACAGCAGTCGACGTCAGCAACAACAGCACAACAAACGCATGTGCCGACGACTAGTGGCTTGCAAAACGGCGTGATCTCGAAGAAGTAAGCCTGCACTTGACAGCACGCCGTTCGGATTGATTAAAACAAATACACGGTGCGTCTGCGCTTCATATTTGTTTTCTTCATACAATTTCATTGCACATTTCATACATCATTCATTATTTCATAAGAATTGTTATCTCATTACCGCACTGTTTTGAAGAGTTGCGAGCGCGGGTGATGTATTTCTTATTTAAAATTCGAACAAAAAGTTACAGCTGCGCTTGTGGGAGAGGCTATGGCGAGTAGTGTTAGAAGTTATGATTTCCTACTTAAATAATAAACACAGTGCAAATGAAGCTTAAAAAATGTGAAATATTAAAAAAAAAAACAAAGAAATTTCGAATTATACGAAAGTTTAAAGAATAATCTGCGCTTGAAAAAACTTATAATCATTTTAATAATTAGACATATCTTTGAATGACTTAATTTTGGCTGAATGAAACATATAATTGCATTTCAAAAGTAAGTTTTTTGAAAAATTAAAAACCGAATCGTAAAGAATACAAATACATATTTAAAAGCACACGCTTTGTGATGCCAAAAAAAAATTATTTATGCAATATTGAGTTGCATAACTGTAATATGAACGAAAAATAGTTTCAAAATATTTCGAAAAACAAACATTTTTATGAAATAACCGTGACTTAGGCAGGCGGAAAGGGAAAGGGGTTAGCCTCCAAGAATATAATTGAACCAAATTTTCAAACAAAAGGCAGCTGTAACTTTACACAAAAACTAACAGATTGTAACTTTTAAGTAATGAAAAGTACAACAACACAAATAAATTTTTGATTACAACTCGCCAACACAACTCGATCACTTTTTTCTCATATTTACTTATGTAATACACTTTTATCATATCACCATCATCATGTCATCAGTTCAGCGTTCAATTCATGGTCAATAGCAACTATTCTTGCTTTCAACCATGTTTTGTGCTGTTTATTAGTGAACAAAATGCGTTAAAACAACAGCTGATGCGTAAGAATTCCCAAATATTTAATGTTTATACAGATACATATGTACGTACTCGTATATACATATGTACATATATCAATCATCTCAATTGAAACAACTAATTATATCTTCCTGTTCACAATACACACCCACACAAACATATTCAATGCAAATAATACAATTTAAATATATGTAAATACATACATACACGTATATACCTACATATAGTATATGTAACCAATTTATAAGTACTGATATTTACATACATATATGAGAAATAAAGTTTTGTACTCGTTAAGTGGTAAATACACACACAAACCAACAACAAAGAATGAAGAAAATTTTATTGTTTGTGTTTTGTAAAATAAGAAGAAGAAAAATGTAAGGAAATAAATGATGAAAGGATGAAGAGAGGAGCACAGCACAGGCAAAATGCAATGCAAGTGAAAGCCAAAATATTCTACTAACATTTTAAGGTATAGCGGAATGAAAATTGATTAATATTTATAAATAAAAGTAAAATGAAATGTAATAAGAAAATTTGTTAAATAACTATTATTTCTTACAAAAAAAAAAAAAAAACGATTAACTAAAAATTATAATAAAATAATAAATAAATAAATGTTGTTGTATGAAACAATTGTTAATAGAATGCAGTATTAAAAATATTAAAGAAAAATCTAAAAAAAAAGAATAAAAAAACATATATATAAAATATTGAAATTATGTAAAAAGAGAGTGCATTCTGATAACGGCAATTTTAAGACAAAAATAAAATAAAATGAAAGCAAAATAAAATAAGTTTAGTAATTATTTTATTTATTACCTACGCGTATAACTAATTTTGTTTGCTAGTAAAGAGAAAAACAGCGAAGAGCTAACTTCTTTGACGTTGTAGAAAAGCGGGCAAAGCAGCAAAGAGTGTTTAGTTAAAGTAAAATATATGTTTTGAAAGAAAAAAAAATTATGTTAGAGCAAATAATGTAATGCAGAAAAAACTTTAATGATGAATTCTTAAATATGGCTGCTACCTACAAATACCATAATAAATTGTATGCGTCGTCGTGTATTTTCTCAAATTAAATTATTTTTTATCAAACTGCAACGAAATGTAAAGCCGTTTTCCTCTAAACTTAATTTATAGAAAAACAAAAACAACGATTAACAATGTTCATGTTTCCTAGTCCTTTACACTATTTAATTTCGTTTTCGTATATTTTTTTAATATTTGAAAAAAAAAAATTATATTGTTGCTATTGTAGTTTTGTTTTTTTTTTTTGAATGAAATGCTTATTTTTTACAATTAAAATATAAATTTTGTATACTCCTATGGCAAAGCTATATAAAAAATATATATATATTGTATAAATAATTAACCATATCTTATTTATACTATTTATTTACATGCACTAAAAATTTAATTTTGAGTTAAGAGCTCCTTCAGTTATTTGAAAAATGTTTGGGGAAAAAAAATTATTATTTACATTTTATTTTTTAGCTGCACACAATGAAGAATTGTATGCGTGAGAATTGGAAAATTGTTTTGTGCAGCTATATATGTACATATATGTATATGTATGTGAAAAAATGTCTGGCAGCAAAGTTAAACGATTTTTTTTCTCCTTTTAAGCAGTGCTTATACAAATTGTGTGAAAGAATTAACAGAAGCTCATGTCTTCTTTGTTTTTTTTTTTTTTTGCAATTTTTTTTAATTTTTTGTTTTCCAAAAAAAAAAAAAAACTGGAAATGTTTTGTAATTATTATTATTATTATGCTTTATTATTATAATATTTTGTTTTTTCCACTCTCAGTGTTGAACTTTTAAATTTCCTTCTATCGCAAACTAATTATATATATTATACATACATAAATATTTATCCTTTATTATTGCGTAATTAAGTTATTTTCTGTGTATTTGATTAGTTTTTATTATTGTGTAATAATAATAAGGCAATGTTTTGCTATAGTAATGGTAATTGAGTTTTAAGTTATGAAATAAATGAAAAAATATTTTGAGTTAAATTTCTGTTTGTTTTGTGTTTTCTTATTGTGCGTCATTTGTTTTATATATATTTTCTTGCTAGACTGGCAGCAAAACTATTTGTTGTTACTTCAATATAAACCGTAAATGTTATGGTTTTTTTTTGTTTTGTTGTTCTTGTTATTGCCAAAAGTGCAATTAATTTTGTTAATTTTAAAAAATGCGCTGAACGTGTTCTTATCAACTTGTTGCTGTTCCTTTTTTTTATGGTTTTTTTTTTTTAATTTTTATTTAAATATTTTCTGGGGTTTTATTTCTAGGCTGAAGCTTCAATTTTTTTATTTTCATATATTTAAAAAAAAATACCGTTATAAAATGAAATTCCACATAAAACAGCATATCTTGAAATCATTTAAAATTGTTGTTAATTGAAATGAGTAAAGACTGAAGTTAAAAGAAAGAAACCAAAATGTTTTTGCAAAATATTGTACGACCAAAATACGTGTAGTTATCATCGGCTATGATTGAGGTTATGTTAGGGAACAATTTGTAGGCCTTAGAAATGCATTTTTTCCACCAAAACATATTTGAAGAAAAATAATTAATTAAGATTATGGCAAAACCAGAATATCGGAATTTACATTTATGAGTTTGAAATTTAAATATTGGAATATTCCTCTAAAACACTAAAACTATTTAAAAAAAAAATATATTTTGAAATTCAAATTGCGATGTATATATGTATATGTACTGTAAAATTCTAAAAAAAAAAATAATTTTTTAACAAAATTGGATTAAATGTAAACATTTCCTTATACATATAAGGCAATGGAAACCTTCTTGAAATTAAATTAAAAGAAAAAAATTAAATTATTTTAAAAATAAATTTGACTATGTGCATATACACGCATGTATATATGTAAAATTTCGTCTATTTAAAAGTGTCTTGTAAATGGAAGAAATCAATATTAATTTAATATTATACATATATTTACCATTTACATGCATATGTACTTCATTTTGTACAGTTATAGTTAAGTAGTTGAATTGAGTCAGGTCCACTATATTATTGTAGTATGCATCTCTAGTATTATTATTATGCATACATATTTACATGCATACAATAGTATAAATCATAGTCGTCCATTTTTCGAAAATCAAGCGTCAAAGCACGTATGTTGATGACCGTAATATCTCAAAAAAAAAAAAAAACGAAACTAAAAATTAAAATAAGTATGTATTGATTTATGTTACTTTCCATAGTACATACTAAGTACTTGTATTTATGTAGAATATTAGAATCCATTGCCAAAAAGAAGTGAAAGAATGTGAAAAGTGAGAAAGTGGCCTAAGGAAGCTGCAAATGTTGGGTGTCTGGGGGAAATGCATTTATTTTTTATAATAATTTTTTTATCGATGCAGACAATATACACATGCTAACATATATATTTATTTTTTTGGAAATTCCCATTTGAAGATTTTGTTTCATGATGCATTTTCAGCCGATACCCATTTTGCTGTTAAGCACTTGTTATTGCATTCATTTTTATTGAATTAAGCATATCATTACAACAACAATAATAAAAAGGTTTTGACTTCTATGAAATGCCAATGTAATAAAAATATGCATTCCATCTCATTTCCCTTCCAAAACTATTTTCAACTAGAAACCTATTCAAGTTGTAGATGAAGAGCCTAAAATGTAATTTAGTATAGAAACTCTTTTATTTTTTTATTTCGACGACTAGAGAACTCAGCTTGTGTGGAGTGATTTTTTTTTTTTTTTTTTGGATGAAGCAAAACTCTTTTTGGCGTTGATCTCTTTGACACGTCGTTTCTTATCCACTCTTAATGAAAAAATTTTGTGCGCGGCAGACGCCAAGACACAGCACAACAGAGATGAAAGGAAGACCAGAGTTTGTCTACCTTACGGTTCGCATACTCAAAGTGAAGTGTGTACATTGCTTTTTGAATAGCAGCAACTTCAGCTGGAATAACTTTACATTCGTCGGAAAGTCAAAGCTGTACACAGTTGTCTTATGCAAACTTGCTCCGCTGCTACAGTGGTAGGTCTGAAGTGACTTGTACTATATTGCCTCAGCGCATGGAAACCTGTTACACGAAAGATTATATTTGCAGCGTTTCACACTGCCCAAGAATTACCAATTTTGGGAAATGGCCACAAACTATTACCAATGACGGTACATATTTAGTTGGGACCGCTTCTCTCAGGCATATTGCTTCACGGGGATCTATCAGAGATCGTGTTGAGAGTGATGAACAGAAGACAATATTGCGTGCATGGTTTAGTCATATCCTCTACGCCGAAAGGCTCCTAATTAAAATGTCTTGACCTACAGAGGTGACCAAGCTAAAAATGCCGATCCCCCATTGGTGCAAAAGAATCAAAGTTCGAACCATCAATTGGTGGTTTATATATAATATGTAAGCATAACCAAAGTGTTTAATTTAATGATTTATCACAAAACTAATGACTTAAATATTTTCCAAAGGCTATTCTAGGGTCGAATCGGCTCTATTTAAACGTGTAAGGAGATTTTGTTTTTTCTCTCTGTGTTTTGTAATTATTTTTAGTTGTCTCCGAGTCGTTTTAAGTACACAAATAACAGGCATTTAGACTTCATACTTTATTAACCCTTACTTACCCCAACATGTAAATACATATGTACATACATATATTGTTGAACTATATATATATGTATTTCAATCGAAGTTGTATGATTTTTGCTTACTTAATATTCATAGCGATGCATGAGCTTAATTGTAAACTAGTTAATATTAACGGGAATGAGAATTTGGAAAATAAAATAAGTATTAAAAGATATTTAGTATGTATATAATGGAGTAAATCACATACATACGAGTATGTATGTAGATTTTTGGTAAGTTGAAAACAAGCTTCCATTTGCATTCAAATTAGAATTTAAATAAAAAGAAGAAAATGTAAGAAATAAATGATCATAAATCGCAAATCACTCATTAAAATACAAAAATACACTCTCCACTCATCGATGCCAAGTCACAGACTCTTCACACAAAACTACCTTATCATGCAATCTATAAATAATGAATTTTATTGTACATAAGTAATGCACATGTGTAGGTAAGTACGTGCATATGTACGTATTGTATTTTAAGAAAATGTTGTTTTACCATTTTTTTAAATTTTTTTTCTACAATTCAATAATTAAATATTTGCCTATTATTATACATATTTTAAATATTTCTTTTTTTCTTTTTTTTTTTTTATTTATAAGAAAGTGGAGTAATTGTTTTGAGAATGGCCAAATTTATATAGAAGAGTGTTTGGAAAAGCAATGGTATATATATACATTTATATTTACTTTAGATATTAGTAAAATAAGAGTAAAATATTTATTAAGTGAGAATAATGAAATTAATTAATATACGAGAAAATATTAATATTAATAAAGAATAATGTGAAACGTTGAAGAAAATTGCATTTTTACTGTGAGACACACATACAATTTAAGTGTCGATGCATTTCAGCTGCTTTTTGCTCACTTTTTGCTGTTGTGTAGTGAACAAAATTTTCATAGCATACTTTTAGGATCATGGCTTTTAGAGTGACAATCGCAGAACGTATATTCAGAGAACCTACACGTATATACCGTATAACGTATATTAATATAAAAATAAAATATTCCTACAGTTTGCTGTTTATACCTTTCATGAACATTTGTAGGTAAGGGGAGTGGGTGACTTTAGCACGACCTAAAGTACTTAATGAAACAAATGCCTTTAATTTTTCATATACTTTCCCCATCGTGAGCACAATGTCTTTATACCACCGAAAAAATATTGTTTAGACCCTTCTTCAAAACGATTTTCTACGCCCGCCTTCGTCTCACAATCGTCTGAAAATCTTCGTCACCGTAAGTCCTTTCTTTAAATTTGAAAAAAGTAAAAGTCACTCGGAGCCAGGTCCGGGCTGGGGGGTGGATTGTCACTATACAACGCGCCTGAATCAGCAAATTAGTCGTATTTTGAGGGGGCAGAGTGTTGTAGAATAGCGCATTACTCCAAATTGAGAGAATTTTCAGTTTCCGTTAACATAGTGTTGTTGCCTGTGCCAGAAACGAAATGTGCTTACGGGAAGCATACGTGTAAGAGCTTGTATTACCTTGGGCGCCAGCTAATTGCTTCTTCTTACTTGAGGTTTAGTTTTCTGGTATATATGCAGGAATGCAGCTCTCAACTGAATGATGAAACTACAGAAATGGCCAGAATACCGCCATCAGGCAACCTTTTGATATCGTCGAAGCATCACTTGTACTGCAAAACATATATGTGAAGCGTTAAGGAGCATAATGCTAAGCTGTGCAAGTAAGATCTGCTGTATTGGTATTGTAGGGTGTACCATAGCAGGCATTTTCATTGAAACCAAGCCACCATCTAAGCACATCTGGAAGGAAGTGCTCGACTACAAGGACTTCATTTAGTACCACGTACAAGAATCGCTGGACAGGACGGTATACCGACAGGCTTTAAACGCCATTCACCGAGATATGGAACTGCATTCTCAAATCCAATCACCACCCATTGTAGATGAAGAGCTGGAGTTGCCCCGAGAGACCCGAGTAATACTGGCACAGTTAAAAACTGGATATTTTTATTTCGTTTCATTTCGTAGTCGACTTACTTCCTATTGTTATTATCCATACTTCACCGAGATATACCCAACGAATGTCCGGCATGCAATGAGACCGCGGACAATACCAAAACCGATTCATCCGAACCCCCTTCAGACTTTGATGCGAACCTTTTAAAACAGCTCGTTTCCTGAACACACCAATTGATGACCTTGATTTAGACTACTATTGACACCTTGGAGGGGTGGGATGAACGCTAAAGCAATTATGACAATAGCAACGGCAACAACAGCAACAACAACAACAACAACAGCAACAACGATAACAACAACCATATAAAAACTAGCAACAACAACTACAAAAATAATAATAATAACAACAACAACGACGATAACAGCAATAACAACGTAAACAACAACGATAACAACAATGAAATCAACACTAGCAACGGCAACAACAACTACAACAATAAAAGCAACGATAACAACAATCATAACAACACCAACAGCAACAACTACAAAAATAACAATAATAGCAACACAAGCAACAACAACTACAACAATAAAAACAAAACAACAACGATAGGAACAATCAAGACAACACTAGCAATACCAATAGCAGCAGCAACAACAACAATAACAATAATAATAATAATAATAATAATAATAATAATAATAATAATAATAATAATAATAAGAACAGTAGTAACAACAAAAATATTAACAACAACAACAACGATAACGACAATGAAATTAACACTAACAACAACAAATATAACAATAACAACCAAACACTAATAATAATAATAATAACAACAACAACAACAATAACAATAACAACAAAGCACCAGTAATTATAATAACAACAACGACTATAACAATCGTCAAAGCAGCTCTAGCAACAGCAACAACAACAATAATAATAGCAACAGCAATAATAATAACAAGAACAATTAAAACAATAACAACAACAATGGCTACACAGGCTAAGTCAAGTAATCCGTGTGTATGACTAAATCCAGCCTTAAAAGTTTTGAACGCGTTGTCGGTGAAAGCCGAGTTAGAGGAAGAGCTCCACTCAGTTAGAAGGATGAGGTTGGAGAGGAAGGCGGCTCCACATAATGTTTCCAATTGACGCCAAACTGCGAAGAGAAGAAATGACTCGTGCGCTACAGAAATTAAGAGTAGCAGAATTTAATGTTTTTTTTTTAATTTATTTGTTCATTAAAATAAATAAAATACATTACAAATTAAGTACACATTTATTTGTTTATATATGTGTATGTATATATATTAAATAAATTATAATTAATTGCATTAAATAAATTATTTTATTGCATAATTAATACAATAAACTCCTCGCTAAATTAAAATAAAATTTACTTAATTAACTATTTAAAATTCCATTGAGCATTAATTTGTTTATTTAGTGTTTTTTTTAAATATTTTTTCATATTTTATTTGTTGAAGTATTTACTATTTACTTATTCTTCAATCTTATCGACTTTCTGCTTTTGTTAATTACATAAAAATTGGTTGTGCGACGATTCGGGAGTCCAATAAGAAACAAACAAACAACAAAATAAAGTTATATTTGTGTGCGTTGTGTGTATGTACTTGTATGTATGAACGGACGAACGAACGAACGATTTGCTTGCAGCCAAAGTCCATAATTTTCGAATCAGACTCACAAAAGTCACACTAAATGCTATTGTCTCACCCTTTATTTCAGCGTTTTCGCATAATTCTCACGCATTCGAATGTTATTAGTATATTTATACTCGTATATATGTATTCGGGTATGGTATGTATTGATAATTGCAACTGTATTTCTTAAAAAATATTATAAATATGTTTTGTGCGGGAATCTTGATTAAAGCGTATTGAAGAGTTCAGTAAGATTTGCTCATTCAGTTATTACCGAAAGTAATAAGCTAAACTAGATTTCCACAAACAACAACATACCATATGAGTATGTATGTATTTACTGTGCTAATTGCTAATTTCGGACTAATCTGGAACCCACTTTCCGTACTTGGGCCGGGGATGGGGAACTAACTACCTAAAATGCGCCTAACCCACCAACATTTTTCTTTGAATTTATCTGATCTTCAGACTTCTTGGTCCCATGCGGGGCGCACCCGCACCCGTACGTGGTCCCGCACTAACTGTTTTCGTCTCCACAGTCGCCGATAGTGGTTGTTGCGACTGCTGCTGTTGCTTCCGTGCTTCGCCGCCAACATCCTCCTCGAACTCCTCATCGTCGCCGAAGAGTAGAGCGGCTAAGCTCGTCTCGAATGTTGACTTCTTTTTCGTTGATGAGGGTGCTTTTGTTGTCTGCACTTTCACCGCGTTGTTGCTATCGCTCGTTGCCGCTGCGCTGGTGCTGGCGTTGACACTCTCTGCACTGGTTGTTGTTTTATTCGGCGTGCCGGTATTTTTAGGTCTCTCGGTGCTGTTGCTGGTTGCGGGTTTCGGCGTGGTGCTAGTGGTGGTGGTGGTGGTTGTTGAAGTGGTCGTTGTAGTTGTTGAAGTGCTGCTAGTTGAGGCACTTGCTTGCACTGGTGCGACGTCTTCTTCACTCTGTGGGCGCATGTAACTAGCAAGCGCCAGTGGCTTGTCATTCTCATCGGCAAACAATTCTTTGCGTTCTTCCGCATGAGCGCCTTCTTCTTCTACTTTATATCCCGGTGGATAAATGGGTTTGAAACCGCCCTGTAACTCCGGTTGAAAGCTGTCGATTTCGAATGTCTTCGCAGTGGTCGTCTCTGAGTACTCCGCGGTTTCACCCACATCGGCACGGTTGATATTGTTCTTCTCGTAAATTGTCTGTTCCGTAGTCGAGGGCAATATATTCCATCCGTTCGAGGGCGCATTGGTTGCACTGCCAAGGCTGACACTCGGGTAGAAGGGCGCCATGAAATTCTTTTCTAAATTCTGACCGCGCATATCAAAGTCGTTGTTGATTCCCTCCTCGGTTTGAGTGTCGGTGCGTATTTCGCTGATTACAGATGACGCGAGATTGACATTCGAGAAACGTTGCGCATTATTGACACCTGTTCGACGATATGGACTCGGCTCGGTTGGGCTGTACGCTATAGCGATGGGTGTGTCGGGTATGCCCACACCATATGTGCCGCTAATGATGCGTGGGCCGATAACAGTCGCAGGCAGGGGTGCGTTTAATTCCGAATAGGAGAGATCTGGCTTTTCAATGGGATATGGAAATTTGTCTTTCACCAATTGGGCAGACTTGGTCTGCTGTTGTAGCGATTGTGGCTTTTTGTTTTTCAGTATGGGTTCCTGCGGCTGATCACGCACCACCGAGAAAGGTGTATTCTGATAGTCGCTGCCTGTGGGTGGCTCCACATGTGCAATAGCGGGAAGTTGCTCCTTAATATCGGCTATATCACTGTTAGCCGTCGTCTTGTCTCCTCTTGAGGGATATACCACGTAGAGACCATTTTGACCAGCAATACCATCGATTTGTGACTCCGTTTGCTCCGAAGCGGCAGTTACTTGTATCTCACCGGAACCAGTGTCGTCGTTAGGCAGCGATAACGGCTTCTTTTGGGACTGCAGCATCTGTAAAGTTACAACTGGCTCGAGTTTCGTCTTATCAACGGGCTGTTCTTCCTGTTCGGGAGAAACTGGTTGCGGTGGATCGTTAATAACGAGATCTTCCTCTTCAAATGCAGCCAGACGTTCTGGTGCCATAATGGTCTTATACATTTCAGGGTTCGAAGCAGCAGCATGCCTTTCGTAATTATCTACACCACGTTGTGGTGCAGGTAGGGGACGCCTTGGGTACATACGGTCTAGATACTGCACTCCTTGACCACCGTAGGGTGGTAAGCGATAGACGCGACGATTGGCTTCAGAAGGTAGTGGCGAGCCCGGACCGAAGTCAGCAGCGCGATTGAGTGGATAACGGTGCATTTGTTGTTGTAGAAGAGGTTGACGACGATGCGCGAACTGTGGTGAGCTGTTAGGCCGTTTCAACGTTTGACCAGATATGCGTATGTTTCCCGGTTCTTGATTGAAGTTCTGCGCTGGTGAGTGTCCTGAAGAGATCTTGGCGTTGGGACGAAATTGTGGTAAAATATTAGGGAGATGACGTTCTGGGTTAGGGCGAGTTATGCCCGGTATTGGTTTCCTAGTATAGTCGTTGTAAGCAAACGAAGATGATGGTCCAGCTGGGCGGCTAGGCAGCTGAGGACGTTTGTGTAACTCGGTTTGTTCGGGAATGGCGTTGGCGACGGACGGTGGGAAGCGTGGTGGCGGCTCCATGTGTTGGGATGGAGTGTTTTGATCCAGCTGAGTTGGTGGGAAGCTCTGAAATAACGGAAAGACAATTTATGAAGTAGGCTTTTGTTGAATAATTACTCTCTACTTCAATAAATACTCACCAATTTCTGTTTGTGCTGGTTCATAGTGAGTACCTCATGCTTCTGGATCAGCACGTCTGCGTTGCTAACACCACCGGCTACATTACTCATTTCATCTTCGCTGCCCTTCGGAAATACGACATTGTTGGCATTCTGTAGTTGTTGGAGACTTAAGGGCTGCGCATGACCATTTACTTGCGGGCCGGCTGGGGGACCGGCGATCACAGGCACGGAATGTTCTTCATTGGATTGTTCTTCGTTCGATGGGAAGCGTATGTTGGTTGAGACGAGCAGCTCCTTTGTGTCTTGGGCACCATTGCTTTCTGTGGAGGCTGTCACCTGGCTAACAGGAGTCTGTGTAGGGGCTGTAGGCTGATAATTATTCTGTGCCGTCTGTGGCAGTGCCAATGGCTTGGGTGGTTTGCGTTGTCGAAGGTTTGAACCGATGAGTGGGAGTTGTTGATATAGTGATGGTGCGGCTGGTGGCTCCTCGGAATAGGTGACAGTGGGTGCATTCGTACCCATTGGACGTTGAACATAAGGTGGTGTGGGACCAGCTACACTAGCACCAAAGTTACCATTTTGATGGAAGTTTGAGACGCTCTGTGCACCGGGTGGATAAGTGCCTGTTGATGATGATGCACCTTGAGCAGGTCGGCTTAGTGCACTGATGTCTTCACTAATCACCGTACCATATTGCACAGGGGGATCCTTTGAGAATAGCGGCTCCTTCTCTACAGAACCAAAAGCAGCACTACCAACTTGCTGCTGAGAGCCCAAAACGAAGGAAGCCGAATGTTGTCCGGGTGAGATAACAACATTATTGATGGCACCAGGAGCTGGACGGTACTGCATGACGTTGGGTTGTTGCACCTGATATGAGACATACTCGCCGCTATAGTTCTCCTTACTGCCTGAAATGACCTTCCCACCTTCGCCAGTGGCTCCTGGTAGGGGTGTTGTGCCGTGGGTGGGATATGTGGGATGAGTTTGGTAAGTAGGGTGAGTAGGTTGTTGCGGCAGACGTTGAAACTGTTGTTGGTGTTGTTGTTTTTGATTATATTGCTGCTGCTGTGATGGGAGTTGCTGTTGTTGATGGTGTTGCTGATGTTGGTGTTGCTGTTGCATAGCGAATGGTGCTGGTTTTGCAAGTGAAATTGGCTGCATATAGTTGCCCTGAGCATCAAAGCCCTGACTACCCTGGTTTTGCGAGGCCACCGCAGACTCCTCATCGGCGAGACTGTTAAATATATCAGCTAAGGACATCGATGGCTTCTGCTCCACCTTCTGTTCGGTATTTTTTTGCCCAAGTGTCTGATAAACATCAGCAATATTGAGCTCTGGCACATGTGTGTGCACTGGTGTAGGTAGCGCCGAAGTCAGCTGGCCACTGGGATCTTCGGTGAAAATTATGGGTTGCTTGGTGCTCGGCACGAAGTGGGTTGTGGTAGCTAGGCTGCTCGGAGCACGTGTCGTATACGAAACACTGCCGGTCGTTGTAGGTTTTGGTATACCAGTGGTGTTTACAGCTGTCTGGTCCGGGAAGCGCATAGGCGTTGCGGGTGTGGCACTAGTAGTGGTTGTTGAAGTGATGTACTTCTTGGTTGGAATGAACTTTTTGCGTGTGCTGCTGTCAAACACTTGGGGTATGCTCGTCGAAAGCAATGGTGGGAAGGGTTTGCGCGTAGATGTTGTATATTTTGGTGAGCTCGGCACGGCGGTGGTTGTGGTCGAAGTTGACGTTGTTGTTGTCGTGCTTGTAGTTGGAGGTATAGTAGAAGTGCTGCTTGCTTTTGTCGCTGTTGTTGAAGTAGCAGTTGTGGGTTTCTTCGAAGTTGTAGTGGTTGTGCTGGAGGTCGTACTAGTCGTTGAAGTAGATACCGCTGTTGCGCTACTACTTCCACTACTACTATGCAGACCCGGCGCTGTGGGCGGCACAGCCATCAGCTTCGTTGTGGGTATGGTGTAATAATTATGGCTGGGCGCTGGTGTCACCGGTGTGGCCACAACCGATGTAGGTTTCTTGTTCGTTATGTAATTCTTGTTGCTGCCCTGATACTTGAGATTGGCATAAGAGCTCGATACCAGCGGATAAACGAATTTCGATGATGAATACTTCACGGGCAGATTAAGATAGTCGTGTATGTTCGGCGCATTACTCGACATCACAATTTTCTCTTTCGGATCGAACACCTCATTCGCAGCGGTCTCAATGCCCGCCGGTTTCTTGGCGCTAAAGTCCAATTGCCCCGAAATGGGATCTTTGCTTGCGTAATACGGTTTGCCGTCGTTGAAGATCTGATTGGGTAGCACATAGCTGGTAGATATGAGTGTATCGTCTTCTGCTGAGTCAGCGTCGCCGTTTCTAGCCTCCAACGGCAAGTCGGCCGAGGCGATCTCCGGTGCCGCTTCACACTGGTTTTTGGCGAGTGTGACCAGCGCTATGACTAGCGCCAGCCATAAGTGAGTACGAGACATCTTCTTCCTCTTCTTCTTCCTCAGTGACAGAGAAAACTACGGGTTGTTGCGCTGTAAATAAAGAGATAAATAAAATTAAATAAAAACGCTGATGATTGTTTATAGATAAAGTTTTAAATAAATATTGTGTGGAGAAGCAAATGTTACTCATTGACAAGCCACGTTAATTAAGTGAAATTAGATGTTGCTCGTAAATGCAATAAAATGCTTGAACGTACGTGGGGATGGAATGGAAAATACAAAAACAAAAAAAGATATAAAAGAAACCCAACATTAAGCAATTGAAGAAAGCCACAAAGCAGCCGCTGAAAGAAAGAAGTCTTTCAATTATGCAAATAAATATTTTCACCAACCAATTTAATCATCGACGCGTCGAGCTGTCATCATTGCATAATAAAAATATATTTACATACATATATAATATTTACATACCTACACGTTGAAGGATTACCCGTGTTGTTGGGCATAAGCAACTCACTTGCGCAATCAGAAGATACAGTATACATACATATATGTTTATTATATATATATATATATATATACATATATAAGGCAGGGAAATGAGAAAAGCTCACGCCGCCAATGGAAAGTGGATTGCATTAGCCAACCACGCGAAAAGACTTTAAACGCCATCTTTTTTTACATTTAATGTCTAGGCTTTATTTGCCATAGTTTGAACTGGTTATGCAGTTACAGTCGTGGGGCTATACTCAATGCCTACCCTTGAGTCCACGTTGCATATAATCGGTATATACGCTCTTCACTGGCGAAGAAGAAATAGAATTATCGCAATATGCACCGTTTTGCTTGATAACCGCTGAGGGTAATGTTTCTATGCCTCTCACATAGCAACCATTGTCGCTATTCACAAATAAATGGGACAATCGATTTTCAGGCTTCTCTTGAGATCCAATTCTTAACCTGCCAAATCACACGCCATAGACAGGAACAACTGACAATAGCTTGGTGTGAGGTCCGAACTATAAGGCGAATGTCTAACAACCGCCCAACTAAGCTCTTAGGGTTTCTGGCGAGTCTCTATCGATGTGTGTGGCCTGACATTGTGCTGATGATGGCCAAAGCTGGGCGCTTTTGAGTGATTGTTTCCTTCAGCTGGTTCGATGGCTGGCAGTACAGGTACCGGAATTTGTCCGTAAGATAAAGAGCTCGCAGTGGATGATTCCTTGCCGATTCCATCGAATACGGAAAGAAAAACTTTCTGGCCGTTAATTCTAGCTTGAATACCATCTCAGCCTTCTCACAGCTCTTCGACCAAGAGAGTTTTCCTTTCCAGCATCCAGCAACCAGTCATCATCCGCTTCAGAAACAGATGGATTCAGTTACGATTCAGCACAAATTTTCCAATGGAAGTTCACTCCATGTGGTTTTTTCTTATTAACTTATGCGGCACTCATACATCAAGCTAATTTGAGTATCCAGCCTTTCTGAAGTGGTTTCAAACTGCTTATTTTGAAATAATCAACTTTTGGGCAATCGAAACAGGGCTCACATGATGGTTAACTTCCATGATTTCTATTATTTTAGCAACATTTTCAATTTGTCTTCCACACCGCTGGCCATCTTTTACATACTAATAACCGGAACGAGATCGATGAAGGAGAAATTGTGCTTGATTGAATGTAATAGTTTCAGACCCATAACCACTATTCCATCCGTAGCTGCCCGATTTGTGTTTTCTACTTTATCGAAGCAATATTTTGCACAAAGCTACGTGTCTTCTCTTCGCTGGTATCTATTTTTGACAAACACTATTAAGTTAAGGGATCAACATTTCTCCCATTTTCATTTTTAGTACGAAATATCAGAACGCGAGATACAAATACACTAAAGCCACGATTTCCATTGTAAGCCAAAGTAATGAATTACTTTTTACTACACTGAGAAACTTTTAGAGCTACCCGCATTAAGAGTCTCAAAAGGGGTGACGCCGCTCTTCAAAATCTCTTTGAAATCTCTCTATTTCGGTACAGGTTTTGTAATATTTAAATTATTTAAATCAATTTCTTTAAGTCATTGGCTTTTTAAAAAATATTTTCGCATCAAAACCTCTGTTAAATATCTTCAGTTTAATACTAATTTTTTATTATTTATTTTTATTAACAATTTGACTGCATTTAAACTTCAAAACACGATTTCCATTGTAAGCCATCAAAATTCCCTTTAGATAAATATCATCAATATAATAGATAGTCATTTGAGTTACCAATTTTATTTGCATTAAAATTTTAAAAGATGCAGCAGGAGAGCTCTCCTCATTCATTTCTCGCTGTATCGCGATGCCAATATAGTAATGTACGAAGGGATCCAAAAAAAGTTTGGTAAGTTGATCAGAAAAAAAAAACGTTTCGTACTTTATCGTAATATTTGCCTTTTTTTATCTTCTCAACATAATCGCCATTGATTTCAATGCATTTCTTAAGCCTTTAAATCCACTTCTGAAAACAGTCTTCAAAATCTTGCTTTTTCACCTTACTCCTGTTGCTATTAAAGACCTTTCCTTTTACATTTATTTTTAATTTTCGGAAATAGCCAGAAATCGCAAGGTGCTATATCCGGGGGAATATGGTGTTGGAGGTATTTCACAGATCCCAGAGATCGGAATAAAATTATTCGTTATTTCAGCCGTGTGGGATGGAGCATTGTCATGATGTAAAAATATTGCTGCAAATCCTCTTTCTTGCTGCTTTTCAACATATTTTTTGAAACATTTCTTAAGCACTATTCGGTGTACCATTTTGTAATTACCGGCTGAACCTTTTTTCCAGTGGAATAGCAGCTCCGATTTTAGATCAGGTAAAGTAAACTGGCATCATTGATTCTGCTGCTGATTTTTGTTGCTTAGATTTTACGGGTGGGTTTGCTACTGTTGGGCCCCTTACCATGAACTGCTGTTTCATTTCTGGGTCGTACTTATAGAACCAAGAAACGTCACCAGTAACGGCTTTATTAAAATAGCTAGACTGACCATTTTCGAATTTGTTTTGGAAAAATTTAGCAAAATGCACTCGAGCATCTTTTTGGGCCTCATTTAAAATTCGGGGTGCCCATTCGCGACACAGCAACACACAATGGGACACATCATTGGAAGAAATTGAAACCATTTATAAAAATAAAAACGCTTGGTTGGGATACTCGAGGAAGCACAAACAGCTCGTTCAATGGCTAAGAAGTGATTTCTCTGCTGAAATTTTGGCTGATTTTCTGGTTCAGTTTCCTTAAACCCAGCTAAGTATGTATTTTTGACTTTAAATACTTCAAGTTTCAAGTTTTGAAATAAAAATAAAAATAAAAATAAAAAGGATGAAATGTTATATTCACCGAGTGAGGGGGAAATAAAAAAAATCAATCTCATAAAAAAATCATTTGAATGTTAAAATAATAGATTTATTTTTACTTGCCTAATATTTCAAAAGTTATCGTCCGTTTGACCATTATTTATTGTTATTATTAAAAATTTCTCTTACTTTGGCTAAGCAAAGCAGAGCTAGAATAAATTTCCCGACTGTGTAAAACTTCAAAAAGCGAACCTTTGTAGATGAGTCTTTGTAGAAATGCTCTTAATCGGCATTCTACACATTGTCTTATGGCCAAAACACAATTTTCGTTCATAAATTAAACTTTCTACTCTTTCATTTTCCTCATTTTAATGGAATCTAATGATAAATTAATAAAGAAGAAGAAGAAGCACTTCTGATTTTTCTTATAGTAAATTGAAAAAATATCAAAAATATAATAAATCCTGCAGTACTTTTGATATATAATATATATCCATGCATATATATGCATATATATGTATGTATATACGAGTATGTGTTAGTATATATATAATATGTAATTATGCTGCAATTAAATTTTAATTACAGACACATTTTCCCTCCACTAAACTCATCTAATATTATTATTATTTTTATTATCAATAATTATGTACTTCCAACCAACAACAATGCAAACGCACACACACACACACACACACACACATACATAAACTGCTACACAATTGTGAATGTATACCGCTTGTAGTCTGGTGATTTGTAATATAAGTGCAATAGATACTATCTTTCAATTTCATTTTCTACTCGTCAATTGTGCGCTGATTAAATCATCAATACAAAAGTAGCAATCAGCAATGATACCTTGTAGCGCCTTTCTTCGTCTGTCGTTTTTTTTTCTTTCTTTCTTTTTTTTTTGTATACTACTGTTTGTTTGCTACTTATTGTTATTACTGCTGTTATTGTTGTTGCCATCCAACTTGTTTGCAGCACTTTTTCCTTATATGCTTTTCCGCGCTTTGGTTGTCAGGAATTGTGAATGTAGTTTTTTCTTGCCTACAACTGAAGACAAGCTCGAGCAATACAAGCAATGAAGTTGATAATGAAGAAGAAGAAAATCGGAAATAATTTTTATAGTGAAAATAATGAAATTTCACAACAACAACCACCTGTTGGAGCGATATGCAAGAGATGGCTATTGTTGTTATGGTACAAAAGGGGTGATGCGTTTAGATTGTGGAAATAAAAATAGAGATTTAAAAGGTAAATTTTTCAGTTAGAGAAAATTTTTGTAGAAGAAGTATAAAAATATGGGAAAAAATATTTTTGAAAATTTATTTGCTTCCAAAATGGAAAATATATTTTAAGTTACTACTTTTATATGATTTTTGAGAGAAATTTAAATTAGAACAACAATTATATTTTGTGTTGATTTACAATGAATTCATGATAAAATTCCATATTAAAATAGCATAAATTTAATTTGAATGTAATAAGCTACCGGAAAAATGGCGCAAGTGGAAAATTTGTTCTTTAGAGAATATTTACAGTAAAATAATTTTTTCGATTTTGTGAAATTTTCTTATTTTGCAACGTACACTCCAATACATATGTACATATGTATGTATATGAGAGCAATATTTTTCCTCAAGATGCCATAGAAAATAAAAAAGGTCAAGGATTTTTTTTTAGAAAAAAATAAAAATTTTTTTCGTGCCAGACTAGAATATAAAAAACTGTAAATACTCGTGGAGTAGTTTTTATTTTTAAAGAAAAG